TATGATGAATTATGGTTTTATGAACGTTAGATGCAATCTAAGGTTCAAACTTAATAGGGTTAGTACATAGTAGTTGTCAGAAATGAGAATTATGGTTTAATAATACAATTATCTCAACATCTCGATTCTCGAATGCAGAACCTGCATACCGATTCTCCAAAACTCATATTGGTAATTTACTTGCTGAACCATCTGAAGAAATATAGTTTATTCTGATGATGACTATAGAATATAAGAAGGTTTATGCGAAGCTGAAACCATGAGAATAATCTGCCTCAATGCCAGCATTTTGTTTAAATCAAAATACTGAATTGTACTATATATATTTGCGTATCAAGATTAATAAAGTACAGTGCCTTCAAATCAGAATAATTTTGATTAAGCTTTTATATAGTTTATATTTATAAACTTTTAATAGCGTCTTTCTCTTAATTCAATTGCCTTACGGTAACTTTTAGCAAGTTTTAATTTAATTTACAATACTCGATCAAATAAAACTAGTTATGATATCCTTTAATAATTTAAAAAAAAAAAATATGAACCAACCACGCTTATTATTTATCGAAATTTCCGGTTCTTATTAAATAAGTTAATGATATCAAATCTTCTGCAAATTCTTTTTTTCAGCGATAGAAATATCGTTAGTCACGTGACATTCTTCGATTCTATGTGTGGCGCGAACTTTGTATTTTTTTTTTTTTTTGAGTATATGTAAAAGAGATAAAAATTCATAACGTCACCGTACTAGAGGGGTGAAGAATATATGGTACAAAATTGCAATCACGTAAGATTTAGTAAACTTAAGGACTGTACAACTTTATTTAAAGATAAAAGTAAGGATTGGAATTGATTCTGTCGGAAATTGAAAAAAAAAAATTGAATAAACTATCCTATCATCTTTCAACTTATTGATAAACTTAAGAATAGTATCTGCAGACCTAAGTATTAGGCATTGAGAAAAATTTTAAATATCTACATATCACAAATTCACAATTTTTCTACTAATGCAGACCTATCTTTCATTAATTCAGGTTTCATATATCAATTTAATTTATTAAAAGATGATAATCATGAAGAAGAAGAGGTGGACAAAAAAGTAATTGATTAGATAATACATTTAATATATGAATGAAAAAAAAATCGAGTCTTCTGAATTCTGATAGTTTGAACGTTAAATTCCGTCGTTCGCATAATTTGATTAAAACACAATCAAGTTTTATTTTATAAATGAAAAAATTCAAGTGCAATTTGGAACCAGGTTTTTTTTAATTGAAAAAACTCCTTTACCATTTTTAATTAAATATAATCAGATTCTGGATTTTTTAATCCAATTATTAATATCTTGGTTGAAAGTGTACAATGAATCTTTCTTTATTATGGGGATCACCATCGTTCGAGGGGCATCGTAGAGTTGCACGTATACATAAATATGGAACTTTATTTCCAGCTGATTTTATTCAATTAACTTTTTACTTCATTTCATTTATACGGTGACTAAGAAATTTTTAATAATTGTAAATTATGATAAGGTTTTATTTTGATTATTGTGGAAAAACATTTGTGATATATTTTGACTTTTTGTTTCTTTAGATTGTAAATACGAAAATTAGATTAAGAAATATGAAATATTATAAAATAAAATTTTTATATAATATTTATTACAGTAATAAATATATACTTACTTACGCCTTTAGAATATAATTAAGAAATTATCATCGATCCTGTAACCATTCAGAATTTAAGCCAATAAAATCCTCAAGCAAAACTTTTTTCTATTTAAAGTTTTTTTTTTTATTTTAAATTTTAAGGTTTTTTTTCTCTTCTATTTTGTAGATACCGGCTCCGGTTCCTTGCATCAGGAAGTTTTAGATAGGCGTATATGTCAATATACGTCATGTATTGCTCTACACCAAAAAATGGCAAACGACGAACTTTATTAATAAACGCGTATAATTGAGTATATTGAGTAAACGTGATTATTACATTAATATTGCTAATAACAAATGAACACACTACCATTCTTTTAAATTAACTATTTCATTATCATCAAGAATTCCGATGCCTACGTTAAAAATGGTTCCAAGTAAGTTTCGCAAAGAAACTTACCGTTTCTAAATTCAAATACCATATTCGAAAACCCTGAGATAAGAGAAAAAATCAAAGAAACGTTAAGAACGCTTCTAATAATAAAAAATAAAAAAATCAAAAGTTTCGCAACATCAAAACTTACCATACATTTCGGTACCAGTGTCGTTGAACCCGAAATCGATAAAAAAAAAAGTAATAAGAAACGTTAATCAGCGTTTCTACAGTATTTGTAAATGGCGATAATTCTGTTAAAGATAAAATTTAATTAATTAGCTTGAACTTGACGTAACAGGTAAGTCAAATATTAATTCATAAATGAGTTCGTGATATTTACCAATAATATAATTTTATTTTGTTTGAGCAAGTGGTTTGCATATACAAGTTCAATGAGTTTAATCTTATTAGCCGTTGCGATTAAAAGTGACATGATTACTGTATATCGATATCATATAATAAAAATATTTAAGCAAAATTTGCATGGAATGTTAACCATAACGAGTGAATCAGCATTCTTATTACCTTTTTCTTCTACTTTATATGGCTTCCTTAAATTCCTCATATTCGAATTTTTCTATGCTTCTATCGAAATAACAATCTCTTACAGGTGAGAGGGGATATTTGGGTATTGTTTTTCAGAAATCATAGAAAAGCGAAGTATCTGAAAGGAATTCGAGTATCTGTTATATATGACTCGTCTTTTTAACGAACGTCCATTACTACAGGTTGAAATTCATAAAAAAACTATAATTTTTAACGATCATCAAAGTCACTACGCCACAAAAAAAAATCGATTCTGGTAAAATCAAAAAAAAAAAAAATTTGAGATATGACCATTACTTCCCCCCAAAAAAATCTTTTTCTTTCATAAAATGAAAATATTAAAAAAGCAAAATATTTTTTTCTTTTGAGAAATAATTTACCTAAATTTGATTTTGTATTGATTATTTATTTTCTTTGATAAGATTGATAATGAGAGACCCATACTTCATTTGGGTTGATTTGAATTTTTAATTTTTTTATTATCTATATAAAAAGATCATGTCAAATGATCATTTTTGAAACGCCAATATTCCTGAAATGTAAATATTCTCATTATTTTTATATTAATAAAATTGTCATTTAGAACCTGCTAGAATCATCAAATGATGAGATTTTTTGATAGTTCACATTTTTGTTTATGTTAAAAAAAAATAATTTAGCCATTTTTTTAGTAAAATCAAAAAAAAAATTTTTTGGCATGTTTCACACGACTTAAAAATTTAAAATTCTTTACAATAACGACACAAAAATAGTTACTTTGATCCCTATTAATTGTTCCTTTTACAGAATTTAATTACCCAAATAAGTTGCATTCAATGCGCCTTCGATGGTCATCTGTTCTTCTTGTGTTCCATTTGAAATTCTATTTAGAAACCTAGAATGAACTAATGGAGCCTCTTTACCATACTTCGTTCAAAAACGAAAAAGGAAATCAGAATTTAATTTACACGTGACTTCCTGGCCGGAATTACGCATTAATGCATTATAAAATGATAGATGTTAGATGATTAACGCGTGTGACGGTGATGATCGCATCATGGGTTCAGGACTATATAAAAAAAAATTGATCTTTTACTGTAAACAAATCGTTATCTTGCTAATGTTTACGTGAGAAAATGTTTCATGATAATCTATTTATGAGATAATACTTTTGGGGGAGAACCGAGGAGATCGTACATTGCGTCGCAAAGATTGTGACATATATCTATTGAACTTTGATCATAAATTATCAATGTAGTTCTCCTGACTATCCATAAAATAAATAAATAATTTATGCGCGCAAAAAATATTTTAATTGATACATCCCCATTTTTCTTTCTTTCATTTCGCATATAAATAAATTACTAATTTTGGACTAGCACAAACTTATTTTTTTAATAGATTCTTATACATGTGAAATAGAATTCATGTGAGAGTAAAGATTTCTAAAAATATTTTGATCATTTATCAATTTTAATGAGTCCACTTAAAGTATAATTAATGAATTGATAACAAAGTGTTTTTTTTTTTGTGTAAATTAGATAGATATTTCATCGATAAGACTTGTTTCATTTTATTATAAATAGACAAAGAATAAACTTTCGACTTCCTTCAGTTCCCTGATACAGATTCTTTCCATTACTAACACCTGAATTAAAATCTGAACACGAACTGGTTGAACCTTGGGAGGTCTACCGTTCAAGACCGTGGGATGTCAAACAACAATAATTCGTAAATCGAGATCGGATTCGCTCGATACCTCCGATATATATTCGACAGATAACTACGGCTGGGCCGGTTACGAATTATGGAAAGATTCCCTACGGCTCTTCGATTCACGACAATCGTCCCTTCCTTTTATTTCACGGACATTTATGAGGGCATTTAAAAAAAGTTATGAGGGCAGTTATGAGGGCATTTAAAATAGTTATGAGGCTTTTAAAAAAGTTATGAGTGCTTTTAAAAATAAATAAGCATTATTCTTAATTCACAATTTTTTTATGGGTACCTTTGAAGGTCCCTTTCACCTGTAAATATTTCTCTCAATAATTAAGGAATTTTTTATTTTAAGAAATAAATTTTTTTAAGATATTTTACTTTTTTATTTATAAAAATAATATATACAATGTATTACTTTTGTTCTTTGCTTTAAACTTTGATGTGAAAGTTGCTAATCTTCAATTTCAGAATGTTCTGACCCTGCTTTATTGAGTGAGTACTGAGTAGCATATTGGGCAATGTAAAATAAAAAAAATGTTGTTTCGCTTTATATTCCGTATTTTCACGACTAAATCACGAATATGATTGGCAAAACCTACGGAATTTTAAAAGATATGTCGGACAAAATTTTTTAAAGATGCACGTGTTTAAATATTAACGTATGATTTGGAACGATGATCTTGCACCCGCTAAAAAATACTTACGAATCCTATACCGGCGGTAGTAATTTAGCGTATAAATATCGTAAGTACGTAACTAAACCAAATTTAATGTAATTGGTTGGAAATATTAGAAATATAGTGTAAGTGTTTCAATTATCCTCCTCAACGAAATTTTTGAATCCTAATATTTAACGAACTTATGTTATTATGAAATTTCGTTACATAATAAGCTTTAATGATCTCTCAATTTCAAAGAAATAGATAAATCTTATGGATCTTTGAGAAATAGATTTCAAGGCTTTTGATTTTTTTTTTGTGGTAAATTCGGAGACGCTAATTACTTTCGTATACGATATACTACAAAAATGATATAAAATGATTAAGAATGATGATTATCCTTTAAATGGTCAAATGGGCCACTATCAATAATTGTTATTCTACAAAAATCCGTATTTGGTTATAAACACGTTATTTAGCGTGTGTTTATACTATTTTGTTTATTTAGACTTTTAAAAGTTAGAGTAAAATACAAAACCGGTTTAAATTAAGATTTCTTATGTTGGCACTTGGCAATGGATTAAACCATTTAGCTTTTTAATCCAAAGTTTGTTAATCAAAAATATTTGATCCGAAACAGCTCAGTTTTACTCGTGACAAGAAAGTGTTCTATGAAAGCATGAAAGCAAGTTAATTGGTAAGGACTCATAATATTAATAAATAGAAACTTATTTATTATATTATTTTTCTTATTTTTTTTACACAAAAAATTTTTTTTTTCTTTTTTTAGATTTTGAAATTAGATAAAGATTAAAAGATGATACTAAATTTCGTCTTTGGTTAGAGAGAGATCATCGACAAACGTTTAAGAATTTTATGATTTTATTGTTGTTGGAGCTGGAACTGCAGGATGCGTATTAACGAGGGAATTGAATTATAATATTCCAACATTAATATTCTGGTATTAGAAGCTGATCCACCAAATACACAAGTTAACGATATAGTGCGTTCAACATGTGCTTTCCTTCGGTATGTTTCGATGTTTTGATATTATGGGTTTATTGCATTACATTGATGATTTATTATAATAGGTTTTTCGAACAAGTGAAACAGATTGGGAATATTCTACAGTAGGTCAAAATATGCCCAGTATTATTGATCTATTAAAGAAGTATTAAATAATGTCCACGTGAAAAGGTTATTGGAGGAGCAGCACTGTGAAATGTGAATGCAATGTTTTATAAGTACTTCAAATTTGAAAGCTGTTTAGAATCTCTTTTTTTTTTTGCTGATTAAAGTAACGAAAATTTCAGTTTCATATTCGTGATCTAAATGTTATGACTTCTTTAGACGAGGTCAAAAAGTTGATTACGATCTTTGGGCTGCTCAAGGTCCTGATTACAAAATTTGGGATTATAATCATTGTATTGAGGGTTAGTATCAAATACATTTTATTTTTTCTTTTTTTTTACGAAAAATTTTATTGTTTTTTTTTAAAACCATACATATATTTAATAATAGCTTTTAAAGCGGTTGAAAATATTGCGCATAAAAGTTCTGATGAAGAATTTAAAAATTATCATGGGTTCAATGGTTTGTTTTACATACAAGATAGTAATTCAAGTGATAGCTTTGATATTATAAGAAATGTTTTCAAAGTCGTAAAAAATCTTTGAATTCTATCTTCATAATAACGATTACAGTAGCGTTAGACAAAATGCAAATGGAGTATGAGAATATCAGGTAATAAAACGTTTAGTTATCTTAAATTATTAATTAATTTAATTTAATATATAATATACGATGAAAGATGGAAAAGCGCTTTTCGTTGGCTGATGGTTATCCGAGACTTATCTCCCTTCGAAATCATTCTCCTTGTGGATTAGCGTGATGATGTTGCAAAATTCGTGGCAGTTAATGTTAAATTATTAGATATTATTGGGATGAAGATAAAAATGTTGAAGTATCTTTATGACTGAATCTTTTATTGCTCCAATGGGCGAAGTGATTATTTGTGGCGATACAATAATTAAAAAAAAATTAGAATAAGATTTTGTAATAAAACAACGAGCTAATGATGATATATTTGATACATTTAAAAAGATTTTAATGTTCTGGAATCAAACCAAAAATAATTTGAAAGAAAGAATATCAAAGTTGTGGATCATCCTTCATGTTGCATCACCGTCACTGCCAAAGTTTCCGTTCCAAATAGTACAAGTACTACTCAATGATTGCATTATTCGAGTAATAGTTTGGAGCTTAGAATGTTTTTAAAAATGATATTAAAGGAAAGTTCCTAATCAAAAACATTTCCTTGATGGACGTCCTAGTCGCCCTATATACAATTTTATGTCTGATATACTATTTCTTTTCATAAATATTAAATAATGCAATCAATTTATAATTTACATATTATATTTACGACAAAAATACACTTATTTAATTTTTCTATACTATAATATTTTCCATCCATGCGGCACTATGAAAATGGAATCAAATCTCAAGGAGGATGTGTTAATCATCGTTCAAAGTTTATGAACCAAAAATCTCCGATTTGCTGATGCTTCAATTTTTCCAACTACTCCAGCTACCTTAGTGCTCGCTCCTACTGCTATGGTTGCATGAAAAGCGAGTAGATTAATTAAGAAGATTATAAAAATATAGCCTAACAATTAAGAAAATATTCTTATTTTATATCGCAAGCGTCATAAAACTAGAAGATTTACAATATACAATATACGTTATGAAATGTATCTATTTGCCTCATCTCATTAATATTGTAACTGATTTTCTAAAGATTGAAATAAAATATAGCACTCCAAGTTGATATGAACAAAAAAATGTTTCGATGCGTTCTAAAGTCCATTTTCGTATACATTCCGATTACATACGGCACAATTCGGTGAAATATTATTTGAATAATACGAATGAAATCATCAATAACGTAAGCATCATCAGAGACATTATAAAACTTAAATAATAATTCGTTATAAACTCCCAATATCTTTTAATGGACCTTTTATCAAAAACGAGAAAATCTAAAAGTATTTCAGGAAAATGTTTAGAGATGCTAGTTATATTAGCTAATTTATGTTTATTTATTTATTATATAATTTACATAATACAGCACGAAACCATCAAAATTCGGCATTAATTCTGAAATACATCAAATTCTTTAGTACTTTAAACTGGAACAATAAATTGTATTCCTTTTCTGGCCAGCAGATTCCATAAAAAAGTCTATCAAACAAATTGAACATACTTTATTAGTTGGCTAACCCCATTTTATAATATCATGTTTTGCCAATTTCATTTCGTTTTTTCCTGTTCACGCATTATTGAACCTTCCTTATAGTCAACCGTTTTACCTGTTTTCACCAAATTAATCCAAATGTCAAAATTTGATGCCGATTTCATAGCCTCTGTCATTACAATTATTCTCGCCATCGCAACTTTTACCATCACTATTATTTCCATCATCGCAACCATTTTCGTCATCACAAACATTTTGATCATCACAATCAATTCTGTGACTCCATTAACTTTTAAAAGGCTTAATTCTTTTTGGTGAATCTTTATTGTGTTGAGACGTTAAGTAGATTGTAGAGCCGCATCTTGAGCTTTATCAGATGAAAAGAGGTTTTGTACAGCAGTATTCTTTTTGATATTCTTCATATTCTCCTCATCATAATCTTCATTATAATTTGCGTTATCAAAATTGGAAGCATTTCTAATCCTTGTTTTCCATGTCACATTGATCAGTCTTTGGGTGTTTGCTGACTTTGCTCCAACATAATTATCCAATCCGCTAACTGTTGTAAAAAATACAGCAGTTGCAAATTCACTTTCCAAAAGAACTACTATTTAACTTTCTTTTTATAATTACTGTTGTATCCCCTAGTATTGTCCAGCACTTGTGGTAGTTATTGTTCTTGATTCTGTTTTTTTTTTAACTGATCGATATAAGTCTACCCATTTCAAGAAATTTCTGAGTAAGTCAGCTGGTTCCCACTTCCCAGTAGGGTGACCTACTAGGACAATGCAAAGAGCATTGCAAACAACATTAGGAGGAAGATGATGATGGTGATTGTGGGGAAGGTGCGTGGTAGAGGCAATGGTGATCATGGAGGAGGTGGTAGTTGTGTTGCTTTTGTGATCTACAAATACAAAAAGTTAAATACCATACAATCTATAAGACTATGGCAGAATTTAATTTACACTCTTCAACCATCACAGCAATTACAACCACTACAATTACTACCAATACAACAATGCAATGATAGAACTACTATCAAATGATGAACCATTGCAGTTATAAACAAATGAAGATTTTTTTATGCTTTTCTGGACAATTTTTTCTCAGCCATACTGCTTTTTATATAAAAATATTTGTAAAGATTTAGGTCAAATTCTTGATTATAAAATTAAGTTGATGAAATATTTTATTGTAAAGTTGTCCTATTAGTGGCGGTATTGTTTTTGTTATAGAAAAAGGATTATATATATATATATATTACTTTTTTTTTTGGTGGGAATTATATTTTTTCTTCAGTCACCGTAAACTTATAATTGACCTTTTTTAGAATTGTTTGAAAATTATATAGTCCGTTGCCCTAGTATCTGATGGTTATCACCGTCATCATCATTAGATGATGGGAAGTCATCTCCACAGTTTTCATGTGATTAATACCAGGTATAGTTTCTATCTCTCATTGCCCAACTCCATTGCACATTATATGAACGTTGTGTATGACATGTATAACGGGGTATATTTATTCTTAGATTTGATTTGGGATGTAGAAATTTGAGTAGAAAGAAAGTTGTAAAATGTCACTTAAATACCCTGATGGGTCATCATGGGGTCATCACCACCCTGGTAGGGATCATATTCACTGTATCACAGTTTCCTCATCATCGTTCTCATCATCTTGATGGTCAACTGGTCATCATCCTAGAAAGTGAAGGTGGAGGTTTGCTTCTTTATCAATTAAATCATTTTCCCTTCCCCTTCTGAAATTGTTTTTCCTGTTTCAATGAGATTTAACTATTGTTCATAATTATTGACATTAATGGAAGTTGATTTAAAAAAATTAACATCGATATTCAGAAATGCATCAATGATGCCCCAATTATAGTTAGCAACTTTAAGAAAGCTGCATTAAACAATAATGTAATTATGTAAATAAAAATTTCCATTTAGTATGTTAAAAGCTAATGTAAAAAAAAATTGTAACTTCATTTACCAGATCCTCATCTAAATCTTGATTCCATTCATTTACGAATTACGAGATTTAAAATCTGAGTATTCATTTCTTGGATTATAGCTTCATACCTTAAAATTTGGTTTCTCTATAAATAATGTAGATAAATTTTAATAAAGTATATATAATTCATTTATTAGAATCATTAGTCATAAGAAATACAGACGAATTTAAAGGAAATTTAAATATAAATCGTATTACATGGCTTTCTCCAAGTTCTAGTTTTAAACGTCATATAATATTTTCATCCATTTCGCGTATTACGTCCTTTCTTATCCGATAATCTAAAAGCTATTTGAGCCTAAAAAATATCCAACTTAGCCTCTTTTATGATCTCTTTTCAAACCCTTCTATTCTGATGACACCTGTTAGAAAAGGTTGATTATTAGCGATATACAAACCTTTTATTTAGGATAAAAGTAAGATGCATAGTTGATTCCTGATCACAGAATCAACAGTCCTTTATCAACTAAAACCAGCAATCAAAACCTGGTAATTCAGTAAACCCAAAAAGGAGTTACCCACCCTTTGTAAAATAAAATTACTATAGGAAAGCAAGTTATTAAAATTTACCTCAGAAGAAGTGAAGAAGTGGACATTTTATAATTTTTTACGGGTTCAGACATTTTGAAGTGTTGATAAAAAATTAAATTTTATATTGAGAATTGAGAAATATTTCGATAAGTAATTAGAAGTATTATTTATGAAATTTATGTTGAGAGAGAAGAAATATTGGTAACCTTTATAAATTGGTTGTATGACAAGTAATGAATTGGTTGAAATTTTTTTTAATAAAACAAATATTTGAACTGATAAATCAATTTTTTTTACTTCACACAATTGGTATTATTTTTTCGCATCAATCAATTTTTTTTACTATTAATAGATCACGCGATTGTGATTAATTTGACTTCTGTTACTGTATTACCTTTTAAGTAACAGAATACATCAGTCAGTAAATAAAAAAAAATTGGCGTAAGTTATTGATCATAACAATGGTTCTTAAAAACTTGGTCTCATGAATTTGAAACACCTAAGGATGTTAATTATCTCACTTTTTATTACTAATTTGCGCAGCGTGTCAAATTCTTGACCAAAATGGCATGCTTTTTAAAGTTATAGACGCAATTAAACTATTGTTCGTAATAAGAATTGTAATTCATAATTTAAATAATATTCCAAGATTACGACATTAAAAAATTTCCTCATTAATAATTTAAGGTACATTTATCAAGGAGTATCTTTATTAGTAATTGTTTAATCATTTTTGTATGACAATAAAATTTAGTATTAATAATCTTTTTTAAACGATTGTGGATATTTACTTCGAACTATACCTAAAACAGTTTTCAATTACAATTGCAGAAATATTCGAAAATAAGAAAATCTATATAACTAACAGGTATAAAAATAAATTATTATTTCCATAATAATTCTTTGAACTTTTTTTAAAAAACAAGATGAAATAGATCTTAAAGTGATAAGAGCAACTATATAATCCACGATGATGATTCCAAAATTCTCCATGTTCTTCGTATTCGTCCAAAGAACTCCCAATCCAATCAATATGTATCAATCATTTGAGAAGATATACTAGTTGATGTATCATAACCACTACTCGTGGATTTATTAGAAATAGATTCATCACTTTCACCATATTAATACATAAAAATGTCTGTTCTTAGTTATTTAAATAATAATATTTATTTTTTAATTTGGCATAAAAAATATCTTGTAGTGCTTGGAAATTATTAATACAGTATATTCAATATCCAAAGAAGGAGAATATAATGTTCGAGCGTAAGATTCGGTGATTTTAGATGATATCTCTCTAGATAATTGAATACGAACCAATCTATAACAACGATCAAATTTAAAATCATCACTAGGATATATTGAATATATTAGGTTTTCATTAAGGAATATTTACTAAAGAATGTAAAAAAAAGTTATATTTTATTATTCGCGAGTTTGACGCGAAATAACAAATATTTAATCTAAGAAAATTTAATAAAATTATGACTGTAATCTCGTTCCATATATTATCCAAAGAACAATTGTCATTCTAATCATGTACTATAGATCCATTAATTAATGTGCAATTGATTGGTTAACCCAATTGATTGTAAGCAGGACGACTTTGCTATAACCTAACCGAAACTGGGTTACAGTACATTTCGCCGAAAGCCGTTTCACAGGGACGCTTCGCCGAAGGGACGAAGGGATGTCTTGCCAAAAGGATTTTTCGCCAAAGGGACATTTCACCGAAGCCATTTCACCGAATCGTCCATTTCGCTAAAAGCTATTTCATTGACATTTGCCAAAACATTATTTATTAAATTTGCTTATTTTATTGTTTTATACTAAATATCATACAATTATTTATCTGCGATAATATAGATTTACTAGTGTACAGTCAAAAAACGATTGACAAATACAAAAATAAATGAGAAATGTTCCAATATGAGCATCCATACGACTCCCCTCTTTAAAGATTAACCGCAAATATACCAACAAATGACAACGTCTTTATTGTGAACAATAATAAATGATTAACTATTGAAGAGTTAAATTATTTTCGGACTTCAAGTAAACCGACAAACCAGACAATATATTTTTAAACGTATGTTAAATACACTAGTTGTCTCCTCCACGGAATGTTACAAGGAGGCGGTTAAAACGTTCGATAATTGGTTTAATTATATTTTCCATGAACTCATCTTTAAGGTATACTGCCATGTCGTACAATTTTTCCCAGAATGACCTTTCTGGTTGTCTTTGTGGAGGCAGATTCGCTATTGGTTAAATAATATTCAAGATAAGAACGTCAAATATTATTCTTATAGTAAAGCTAACCTTTTTCTTAACTCACCTGATGTCCAGGAGTTCATTGCAAGTGTGCGAAGTGATTGGTATTCACTATCACTTATTAATCCTCCATCAAAACATCTTCTAAGTTCAGTGAGATTTTGATAAAGGTCACCCATTCTGTTTCTATACGTTTAGTTACAATCTGTCATTTATTTATAAGAAAATACATTTTTTTATGGGTGAAAATTGGCGTAAAATCATATTTGATGTAATCATGACGTAAATCATTATTTTGTAAATGGAAAGGTTTGTTTGTAATCGCTGCTAAAAGTGGTTGGTTAACTTTCTAAAAAAGGAAATCACTTGGTTAACGTTATTGTTAACGTACGTTTTATGGCACGCCAGGCTGGACAGATGTTTAACGTATAAGCTAAATCATTTGACGTTAACACCATATCATTTGACTTTGGAGTACAAAGCATTTGGCGTTAAATATAAACCATTTGTCATTAATTCCAAAGCATTTGTCATTAATTCCCAAAACATTTGCCATTAATTCCAAAGTATTTGCAAATCTATAAACAAATTTCCTATAAAGGAAATAGGATTTCACGAGACTTTTAAAAAGAAAATTATTACTTAAATTGCACCATTTGAATTTTAACCAAATATGGAAAATTATTTTCATATCGCCAAACTGTTTGACAGTATTGGCAAAGAATTTAACTATAAAGTCAAACAGTTTGTCGGTACAGCAAATCATTTGAATTTCGCAGTTAACCTTAAACGTCAAATGATTTAGCTTTTACGTTTAAACATCTGTCCAGTCCGGCGTGCCATAACGTTTCGTTTGTTCATCCAGACAGTCAGGTTAACGATACGCTCGCAGAAATCCGGTTATGGTAAAAGAGCAAGGAGTAAAGTGATACGACTCATTTTTTTTTTTTGATTTTTTTTTTTGGTCTTAAATTTTTAAAATCATCTATTGATGCTTGTATTTATAGTAAAAGTAATATATTTAGAATTTTTTTGAGTTTGATTTGAATTTTCGTGTCCTTAAATTTAGACTTATTATCGTGATCTTTGTGGCTAAATTTTCCTTAAAAGTTATAGAAAGGCGGAAATTTTCTTTTTAGCGATATCTACTACCGCAGTTGCAAATCATCAACGTACTTGCATATTTTCTTGTGATACTGATATTCCTGAAATAATCGATTAAATAATTGCCATTACCGTAATTTACGATTAGTCTGAGTATTTGTGAATTTTACATTCAGTATAGTATGAATTTAAATTGTTTTACATGAACAAGTTACGTGACGCATGTTGCGTATTTGGAGTTCGAAGTTCGTTTGGTAGTTTAAAAGTTAAGAATTGTAACAACTATTGCAGTTTTAGTAAAAAGTTGTTAATTATCAAATGCCATTTAACAAAATATTTTTATATGAAATAATTCATTATTAACTATATATAAAGGCCATTTAAAAAATATTATTATGTAAAATAATTAATTATTAAAGAAAATTTTAAAACATAAATTTCACCTTTTTTTTTATTTATATAAAAGTTTCTTCGAACTAGGTCGTAAAATCAAAAAATCACTAATTCACACGTCGTTACATGTATCGAACACGCGAATACCATCCTAAAAAAATGATCATTTATCGGAGTTTTTTCAAAAAATTTTTTATAGGTGCGTGATTCACACACCGTCCCCATAATATATAATAAAATAAATAAAGTGTAGAATGTGATGCAGCGTGATGAATAATATGAATAGCGTGATTTTACTATATATTAAATTTATTTTAGTTTAAATTCTGGCGGGTATGATCTTATGTAGATCGTTTCGTAACATACCCGCTGTAAATCTCGAAGTAATACAAAATATTTTTAAAATTGTTTTGGCCAGATGATTTGACAAATCCTGTCAATATAATTGGCTGAAATAATCAATTTAGACATTATGGTCTGCAAATAATTATCGTACAATAAAATCGTATTTGATAAAAAAATACATAACAGCGCACTAAAATGACAAAACTATACCATTACTAAATACAGAATAACTCGAAATGAAGTTTCTGTTTGAAATTCTATTAGAGTATTTTTTTCCAATGGTATCCTAATAATAACCGGATTAATACATATCTATAAATTTTATTTAAGTCAACCGTAGTGTAGAATCACTATTTACGGCATTAACTTTTACCATTTTTTATAGTATTTATAGTATTTCCCAAGGGTGGCAGTAGTACAACCCAAGCATCACTTCGAATAATTATTAAATGATTCCTTTAGAATATATATTATATTCACATATTTACTATATTTACTGTTGAATATAACAAGCTTTCTAAATCGGAAATCGGAACCTCAAATTATGATTTTGATCAGTTAACAAGTTAACAATTTCCTATTATAATTATACGCGACGCGTAACAGTCGTAGACTCATGATCATACGATCAATATAATTATGAGTCATCTTTTATGATGGAAAAATTTTTATACTCTATACTATAAATTTATAAAGTATAAAAACTATAAAAACCCTCTATCCTCTCTCTCACCTTTTTCCACTCTTATTGTCTAGGACCACAGCTCTGGACTCCTCTTGGGACAGAATTTCGATATAAATATATATATAAGGTAAACTTACGAAATTCTGTTTTTCTTTTTTTTCGTTTTTTTTTTATTTAGCGAAACGTTTACTAACGTTTCGGTTTTCTCTTTTGTAGGTTCCAGACGTTTCATTTTGTCGTCTCTCCTCCTTCCTCTAGCCCATAGTCGATTTTTATAACTTTCCTTTTCACCGTCTGTCTATGGAAATATTTAAGTAGACTTCTAAGTATTTTGTTGGGACCATAGTAACTTTTTTTTTTTTTTGCAACGCATTTCTTTATTAAAATTAGTACGAGTACATATATAATATTTAGAAATACTTAGAGACGCTAACCAAATAGTTGTGCGACTCTATAGCAAAATAACCTATCTAAATACATTACCAAGAGTACACACTAAGATATGCAGTTGCACGAACAAGCTGTCAGCTTCGCTTTTACCTCTGCTATACCTTCGGATTCCTCGCTGGGCACTTGGTATCACACGTACTCTATCTTTTTGGCCACACGATAATCTTTATAACTCCACGAGACCACGACTTCTTCTGGCGCAATATTATCTTGTTTTAGAGGTGTTTTGGTCGAAGCTTCAGCCTTGACTACTCCCAGTTCTTCGTCAACCGAATCCAAATCCGAGTTTGAATCCTCTCCTAATCTCCAATTGATAATTATATCCACTATCACCTCTTCAGTTAAAGGTGTAGTTTTTTTGTATTTCTTGACCGCCATATTTGCTAACTCCATGTATATTCATTCTATCAGGAGGTATCAGTGGCGTAGAAATGTTTGCCGATTGGCCAACTGATGTTTGCATATCAGGCGTTTTCGTTTTCTCCCTTTCTATCTTCTTCGAAGCCCTACCGTTTCTGTATATCATTTTGATGCACCTTTCATATCAGATTTGCACTACCTTCCTTCAGTAAAGTACCCACCACCGTCTCCTGCTCAGTAAAATACGCTATCACCGTTCATATTAACTTTGTTTTCGTCGTCATACTTTAAATGTCTGGAAAGTAGTCTTTTGGGTATTTCGATGGAGTAGCATGATGCTATGCGTTGGGTGGGAGCATAGTGTGCTTACTTTGTAAGCCTGTGAGTACCAGCTTTTGCTGCAGTCTCGCGGTAGGGCTAGTTGGGAACTTGGAGCGGTATAGTACTATGCGAGGGTTGGAGCATAGACGCTTATTTTTAGTAAGCTCGTGGGTACCAGTTTTTGCTGCAGTCCTGCGATAGGACCGAAGGTAAGTGCACTTTTTGTTATTTTTCAGTTTTTTTATTTTTTTTTTATGATTTTTTTTATTTCTTCATTATTTTTAGCTTTGGGTATTTCTTTTGGAGCAGCATGACACTATGCATGGGTGGGAGCATAGTGTGCTTACTTTGTAAGCCTGTGAGTACCAGCTTTTGCTGCAGTCTCACAGTAGGGCTGGTTGGGAGCTTGGAGCGGTATAGTACTATGCGAGGGTTGGAGCATAGACGCTTACTTTTAGTAAGCTCGTGGGTACCAGTTTTTGCTGCAGTCCTGCGATAGGACCGAAGGTAAGTGCACTTTTTGTTATTTTTCAGTTTTTTTATTTTTTTTTTATGATTTTTTTTATTTCTTCATTATTTTTAGCTTTGGGTATTTCTTTTGGAGCAGCATGACACTATGCATGGGTGGGANTTTTTTATTTTTTTTTATGATTTTTTTTATTTCTTCATTATTTTTAGCTGGGTATTTCTATTGGAGCAGCATGATGCTATGCGTTGGGTGGGAGCATAGCGTGCTTACTTTGTAAGCCTGTGAGTACCAGCTTTTGCTGTAGTCTCACAGTAGGGCTGGTTGGTTGTGGTACGGCATGGTGCTATGCGTAATTTTCATGGGAGGAGCATAGTGCACTTCTTAGGAAGTCCCTTGTGGCAGGGCCGTAGTACTATAAAGTGCAAGATTTTTAAAAATGTGGATCACAATTTTTTTGCTACAGTATTGATATTTGTAGAGCGGACAAATTTGATGACGTCATGAATAAATAAAAAGATTCTTATTATAATGTTACCATATGTAATAATCAAGTGTGAATTGGCATTTTAAAAATTTTGTCAATTATCGCATCTTTATAAATTTATAGCACAGAATTTTATCAATAATAAAATAATTTTTTATTAAATAATTATAAATTATGTACAATCGTTCAGATGTTAAACAGAAATCAATAATTATTATATTCATATATTAAATTAGAACAAAATAGCTCTTCCATTTGAAAATTTCTTATATTCACACCCAACCCGCTAAAAATTAAAAAAACTTGCCCGTTTGGGAAGAAAAACTGATTATTAAAAAATATTTAATAATCGTTTTTTTTTTTTACTTAGAAATTTAAAAATTTAGAATTTTCGATGTTGCAATTAAAAAAAAGTGATTATTTCTCAACAAACTAGTGTCCAATTTATAACGAAATCTGAAAAATTTGAAATTATGGGATATCAAAACAAATGAATAATTATTTGTCAAAAGTTTAGAAATTAGTTCAGACAAAACACGTTATTGTGGTTATTGTAACTATCATGATTATCCTGGTTATTTTTTCCAACTTAGGAATACATTGACTTGCGTCACCACTCTATGCTATCGATTTGAGAACTATCAACTTAAAATTACAAAATTCCTTCATCATGTAACTGAGCGAAGATATAACGGAATTTTAATAAATTGGAACTGGATTTTTTTATCAGAACTTTTTCTGGAATCCAAATCATATATATTAAAGTAGTTTCGATATAATGGAATACGAAACTAACAGTAAAAATTTTAGCGTATATTAAGATATACAACGTATATTCGTTTTTGATTTTGTTAATTTTGGTTATTTTTAAAATGCAAAGTTGTAATTTTATTGTTACACGTATTATATGGAATTTCGAGTTCCGATATCATATCAAAAATTTTCACCATATCGGATATTACAATTATAATAATCAAAATTTTAGGATAATCAAAAAATTCTATGTTCTATGTTAAATTCAATATGTAACAGTTTGTATTGAAAAAAAAATCCATCAATGTTTGTAGAGTATTTTAATCGGGACAAATTTTGACGCTGCCTCAAAATAAAGTTCTGAACATCTGAACAAGTAACGGTTTTTATGTTTAGCGTCTTAAAAAGATTCTTAATATAATGCTATCATACGCGAATTTGCACTTTAAAAGTTTTGTCAATTATCGTATGCATTTTTATGAATTTTTAGAGCAAAATTTTATTCAATAATAAAATAATTTTTTTTATTAAATAAATTATAAATTATATACAATCGTTCTAATGTTAAACAGGAATCGATAATTTATTTATATTCATATATTTAAGTAATTAAATTAGAAAAACAAATATAAAATTTTTAAAACCCATAATTTTTTTTATATCTTCCATTTAGAAATTTCTCATTTTCACACCCAACCCGCTAAAAATTGTAAAAGAAAAAATCGAATATTTCTCAACTAACTAATGTCCCATTTATTAAGAAATCTGGAAATTTTGAAATTATGGGATGTCAAAACATTATGGGTGTCAAAACAAAAGGAAGACTCATAAGTTTAGTTCATAGCCACGTTATTGTGGTTATTGTCTATCATGACTATCATGGTTATTGTTACTAACTTATGAAATACAGAGACTTGTATCACAAAAAAAAATCAAGACAGTAACTAATAAAAAGTGTCGAAAGACATGAAATAAATAACTAATTGCAAAAAGAGTAATAATTAAAAAGTGCAAATCAAAGTTGGTTTGAGAAGTTTTTAGCCTTAAGTGTATTTCGAAGAAATAATGACAATAATCAAACTTTAAAATTTATAGCTAAATAAAACGCTATGGCAATAATTTAAAATTATCATTCATGAATTAAATTTTGGTAAAATGTATTTATTTCTCTTTACATGATAATAGTTATTTTTATTTTTTGATTTTCGTACTAATTAACACAGTCATCCATCATATATCTCAGCGAAGATGTTTATATTCATCGGTTATTAATATACAAACTAGTATCGTACACTTTATGATTTTTTATAATAAGTATTGTTAAAGATTCAAAGCACAACAGTTGCCAATTTCAAACTATATAAAGCAGAATATTTCTACGTATAATTCGCTTATAGGACTGCTGATAACCTATAGCACTTTAAAAATTTTGTCAATTACCTTCGTATCTTTACAAATTTATAGCACAAAATTTTATTCAATAATAAAAATAATTTTTTTTTATAAATTATATACGTAATAATCGCATCTTTATAAATTTATAACACAGAATTTTATCCAATACTAATAATTAATAAATAATTTTTTATTAAATAAATTATAAATTATGTACAATCGTTCAGATGTTAAACAGAAATCGATAATTATTAATTATTAATACGATTTTTTATTAATTAACAATTAACAAAGAATTTATTGTGCTACGAACGACGCGAGCATGAGGATTTTGTGAGGTAGAATACCACATTAAATGAAATGGGCGGACAGGTTGAAAGCGCTTCCCAACTAGATAATGGGTTAATATTCATATATTAAATTAGAACAAAATAGCTCTTCCATTTGAAAATTTCTTATATTTACACCCAACCCGCTAAAAATTAAAAAAACTTGCCCGTTTGGGAAGAACCCGGTTGGGAAGAAAAACTGATTATTAAATTTAATAACCGTTTTTTTTTTATTTGATATTATTTATTTTTTAGAAAAATGAAAGTTAATTGCATTATAAAGTATTAAAAATTTATTAGAAAAAAATTGATTATTTCTCAACAAACTAATATCCATTTATAACGAAATCTGGAAATTTTGAAATTATGGGATGTGAATGATTACTTTGTCAAAAGGTTAGAATTTAGTTCATCGCTGATCAGACGAAATACGTTATTGTGGTTATGATTATCATGGTTATTGTTTCTAACCTAGGATTCTAGGAATACATTGACTTGCGTCACCACTCTATGCTATCGATTTGAGAACTATCATTCATGAGCTAAATGCTGCTGATGAATTGGTACAAATGTTCAACTTAAAATTACAAAATTCTTCATCACGTAACTGAGTGAAGATATAACGGAATTTTAATAAATTGGAACTGGATTTTTTTATCAGAACTTTTTCTGGAATCCAAATCATATATATTAAAGTAGTTTCGATATAATGGAATACGAAACTAACAGCAAAAATTTTAGCGTATATTAAGATATACAACGTATATTCGTTTTTGATTTTGTTAATTTTGGTTATTTTTAAAATGCAAAGTTGTAATTTTATTGTTACACGTATTATATGGAATTTCGAGTTCCGATATCATATCAAAAATTTTCACCATATCGGATATTACAATTATAATAATCAAAATTTTAGGATAATCAAAAAATTCTATGTTCTATGTTAAATTCAATATGTAACAGTTTGTATTGAAAAAAAAATCCATCAATGTTTGTAGAGTATTTTAATCGGGACAAATTTTGACGCTGCCTCAAAATAAAGTTCTGAACATCTGAACAAGTAACGGTTTTTATGTTTAGCGTCTTAAAAAGATTCTTAATATAATGCTATCATACGCGAATTTGCACTTTAAAAGTTTTGTCAATTATCGTATGCATTTTTATGAATTTTTAGAGCAAAATTTTATTCAATAATAAAATAATTTTTTTTATTAAATAAATTATAAATTATATACAATCGTTCTAATGTTAAACAGGAATCGATAATTTATTTATATTCATATATTTAAGTAATTAAATTAGAAAAACAAATATAAAATTTTTAAAACCCATAATTTTTTTTATATCTTCCATTTAGAAATTTCTCATTTTCACACCCAACCCGCTAAAAATTGTAAAAGAAAAAATCGAATATTTCTCAACTAACTAATGTCCCATTTATTAAGAAATCTGGAAATTTTGAAATTATGGGATGTCAAAACATTATGGGTGTCAAAACAAAAGGAAGACTCATAAGTTTAGTTCATAGCCACGTTATTGTGGTTATTGTCTATCATGACTATCATGGTTATTGTTACTAACTTATGGAATACAGAGACTTGTATCACAAAAAAAAATCAAGACAGTAACTAATAAAAAGTGTTGAAAGATCTGGAATAAATAACTAATTGCAAAAAGAGTAATAAATTAAAAGTGCAAATCAAAGTTGGTTTGAGAAGTTTTTAGCCTTTTAAAAGTGTATTTCGAAGAAATAATGACAATAATCAAACTTTAAAATTTTATAGCTAAATCAAATGCTATGACAATAATTTAAATTATCATTCATGAATTAAATTTTGGTAAAATGTATTTATTTCTCTTTACATGATAATATTTATTTTTATTTTTTGATTTTCGTACTTTAACACAGCCATTCATCATATATCTCAGCGAAGATGTTTATATTCATCGGTTATTAATATACAAACTAGTATCGTACACTTTATGATTTTTTATAATAAGTATTTGTTAAAGATTCAAAACACAACATTTACCAATTTCAAACTATATAAAGCAGAATATTTCTACGTTTAATTCACTTATAGGACTGCTGATGACCTATAGCACTTTAAAAATTTTGTCAATATAATGAAGTAACACTATGTCCACTCACATTGCGGGCTGTTTATTCGTCAACCATATGGGCAAGATATTGTGGTTCTGTTGTTTGTTGGAAATAACTTGTGTCCATTCTTCCACGTAATTACGAGACTATGATATAAAACAGCGCTCCGAATGTATTCTTTAGTTATTTCCTTTAGTGTTCTACATTTCCGCAGGATGTCCTTCATGTGCTTCGCACCAGCTTGAAGTGCCAGGCATTTTAGTGAAATAGTTAAGATTATTATTTCCCAGAACACATAGAAATCTATTTTCGTAACCCATTCTTCGGATACATCAAAGGATCGTGATAATGGAGCTTTATAATTCGCTCCCTGAAACAATCTCTTGATTCGAGAATGGAACAGACGATAATATTTTGAGACTATGGCTGTTTTACAACCACTTTGAAACCAACTAATATATTTCCTTCGGGAACTGCTTCTTCTAGCAGAAGAGTGATTCATAGTTGAAGAACAAAATCTTATATAATGCGGAGGCAGAATATTCAGACATTTCGAACGGGTATATCTACTATACTTAATCTGAAAATTAATGGAAATGTTGTTAGTAACAGAACGTTCCCAACTACTACTCTTGTCCTTTGAATAAAACAGTGATAGATTCTCTGGCTTACAGTTTTTTTCATTATTAACGCATATCGTATGTTGGAGTATTGTATGCCTGAAAGGTATCCGGTTAGTGATGATGCGAAAATCGCCTTGACATTTCTCGAGTGTTGGTTGAAAGAAATCGGAAGAACATCAAAGAGATGTAGTGTTTTGAAATTGTTGATGACTAGAACTGCCATCCTTAACAAAATTTTCAATTCGTCTTATTTGCTCTGCTATAACTAAAGTACATAATAGAAATTTTATCAACGGGTAGATGTTATGATCTTGTAGATGAACCACATGTCCTGAAGGAATATCCTTAATGTATTCTTTTTCCATAGTCGGTGCGTTGGTATGTACATCTGAAAACTCTTCTTTATTAACTTCTGTTCTTAACAGAGTCGCCATATCATATATAATATCCTGTGAACATGTGTTAGGTAGATCAATACTATCACACATATTACTATTAAATGTCTGGAGGGCAGTGCTGCGCACCTTTGGTAGTCCCTTTAGGACTAGTGTATCTGTACTGTTTTGAATCGTTATTGATGGGCTATGTTCAACAAATTGGGATTCTGCATAAATAATGTCAGTAATAGCCCAGCACATGTCCCAAATAGATACACAGTATCCCTTGGATATCATTGTGTCACACTTACTTTACAGAAACCTTCAATTTTCCTAAATATGTTTGATATATCACTGATAGATAGCATTTATGAATATAGCATATTACCATGTATGCAATATCAATATACAGTACAAGCAAAATATATTGATAATATGTTCTTTATATGCCAAAATTCATATTAAAAACAAAATATAACCAATACATATCTAAGATACATTCAAATATGTTTGTCATATGCCAAAATTCATATTAAAAGCAAAATATAAGTAATGTATAACCAACATATAATTGTAATATGTTGGATATATTCCAAAAATGCATATTAAAATAAATAAGGTTAACATATTATTAAGATATATTGATAATATGTTCTTTATATGCCAAAATTCATATTAAAAACAAAATATGACCAACATATATCTAAAATACATTTGAGATATGTTCTTTATATACTGAAATTCATATTGTAAGTAATGTATGAGTAACATACAATTGTGATGTGTTTGATATATTCCAAAAATACATATTAAATTTACTCTTAAATTTATATGCTTTAAATTTATATGTTAAAATTTATTCTAGCATCCTTCCAGCTTCAGTAACAATACAAATGATTACAACTTTTTTTCGCTTTGACTTTTAATTAATAGAAAATTTTGATTAACAAAGAAAAAAATTTTTTTTTTGTTTTAAAAGTAATAAAAAGAATTAAGCAAAAATCAATAACCCAAGTGAAAAACTAAAAGGAAAATTGTTTTATAAAGGATAAATAAATTTACATTTTTGGAATGAAAGAAAATGAGGACAATGTTAATCACAATTCTCGGATTGGTAATGATTCAACTAAATAGAACTCATAATAAATTAGCTGAAAATCAACTACTGATTTTGGAGAGCGTCTAAAGC